TCAATTATAAATTGAAAAAAAGTGATATTTCTAAGCTGATTTTCGAACATCTCTCCATTCCAAACAAAAGAGCATACTTTTTTCTATATAATGGCATAATATTCTTTAGAGATCTTTTCTAAATAGTTAAAATTTTATGAAGAATATAGACAAAATTTGAGTATCGTTCGATAGCGAATTTTCATGGTTTTTTCAATTTTAATTTGGAAAAAAGTGATATTTCTAAGCTGATTTTCGAACATCTCTCTATTCCAAACGAAAGAGCATACTTTTTTCAATATAATGGCTTATTCTTTAGAGATCTTTTCTAAAAAGTTAAAATTTTATGAAGAATATAGACAAAATTTGAGTATCGTTCGATAGCGAATTTTTACGGTTTTTTCAATTATAAATTGAAAAAAAGTGATATTTCTAAATATTTCTAAGCTGATTTTCGAACATCTGACTATTCCAAACGAAAGAGCATACTTTTTTCTATATAATGGCATATTCGTTAGAAATCTTTTTCAAATAGTTAAAATTTTATGAAGAATATAGACAAAATTTTAGTATCGTTCGACAGCGAATTTTTACAGTTTTTCAATTATAAATTGAAAAAAAGTGATATTTCTAACCCGATTTTCGAACATCTGAACATTCCAAACGAAGGAGCATACTTTTTTCTATATAATGGCATATTCTTTAGAGATCTTTTCTAAATACTTAAAATTTTATGAAGAATATAGACAAAATTTGAGTATCGTTCGATAGCGAATTTTTACGGTTTTTTCAATTTTAAATTGAAAAAAGTGGTATTTCTAAGCCGATTTTCGAACATCTGATTATTCCAAACGAAAGAGCATGCTTTTTTCTATATAATGGCATATTCTTTAATGATCATTTCTAAATAGTTAAAATTTTATGAAGAATATAGACAAAATATGAGTATTGTTCGATAGCGAATTTTTACGGTTTTTTCAATTATAAATTGAAAAAAAGTGATATTTCTAAGCCGATTTTCGAACATCTGATTATTCCAAACGAAAGAGCATGCTTTTTTCTATATAATGGCATATTCTTTAGAGATCTTTTCTAAATACTTAAAATTTTATGAAGAATATAGACAAAATATGAGTATCGTTCGATAGCGAATTTTCATGGTTATTTCAATTATAAATTGAAAAAAAGTGATATTTCTAAGCCGATTTTCGAATATCTCTCCATTCCAAACGAAAGAGCATACTTTTTTCTATATAATGGCATATTCTTTAGAGATCTTTTCTAAATACTTAAAATTTTATGAAGAATATAGACAAAATTTGAGTATCGTTCGATAGCGAATTTTCATGGTTATTTCAATTATAAATTGAAAAAAAGTGATATTTCTAAGCCGATTTTCGAATATCTCTCCATTCCAAACGAAAGAGCATACTTTTTTCTATATAATGGCATATTCTTTAGAGATCTTTTCTAAATAGTTAAAATTTTATGAAGAATATAGACAAAATTTGAGTATCGTTCGATAGCGAATTTTCATGGTTATTTCAATTATAAATTGAAAAAAAGTGATATATCTAAGCTGATTTTCGAAAATCTGACTATTCCAAACGAAAGAGCATACTTTTTTCTAAATAATGGCATATTCTTGAGAGATCTTTTCTAAATAGTTAAAATTTTTTGAAGAATATAGACAAAATTTGAGTATCGTACAATAGCGAATTTTCATGGTTTTTTCAATTTTAATTTGGAAAAAAGTGATATTTCTAAGCTGATTTTCGAAAATCTGACTATTACAAACGAAAGAGCATACTTTTTTCTATATAATGGCATATTCTTTAGTGATCTTTTCTAAATAGTTAAAATTTTATGAAGAATATAGACAAAATTTGAGTATCGTTCAATAGCGAATTTTCATGGTTTTTTCAATTTTAATTTGGAAAAAAGTGATATTTCTAAGCTGATTTTCGAAAATCTGACTATTCCAAACGAAAGAGCATACTTTTTTCTATATAANG